CACACACACACACACACACACACACACACACACACACACACACACACACAGCTCCTAACCGCTTTGTCTCATGCACCCTGACGTCCACTGATTTGAAATCTTTTGTGTTGGTATTGCTGTGGTGTCCTAGTGTCTGTAATGCTTAGATTAGCCAAGTCCCAGTATACCTTGTATAAAACAATAAATCATGTGTCATACAGTACCCTTTAGGCACATTACAATGCAAAATAAGCCTCAAGATGTAACTCGGATTGTGCTAGATTTTTACCAGGCATCTCTTCTTTGCCAGCTTTAAAATTCCCACCTGTGCTAGGTCACTCTGTAATTACAGGTGTAAGCCAGGAGAGTCTGAAAGGCTGCCAGATCTCAGTGCACAGTCACCTGTGAATAGAGCCCATCTCATGACCCTTCATTGTCTCCGCAGTTTCGATGATCTGAAGCTGATGTCGTATGAGGTCAAGTGTTGCAAATGTTGGATACCACTTGAAACGAATGGTGTAGTACAAACTCTGCACCGAGTGTCAAAAACCTTTTTGTAGGAGAAAATGTTGAGAAATCAGAAAGGATTGTCGTGTATGACCAGTCATGTTGTCCAAATTACTCAAACAAATGCATTTGAATGTGTTTATTGTGAACGGCTAAGCAGAGGAGCATCATTGGTTTGTTTACTTGGTTCGGTGTTCCAGTGAGCAGAAATCTCACTGGAACATTGAATGTGTTTTGACAGATTATCTTTACCTGCTCAAACTAAAGCTTCCATTTTAAGGTTGTGGATTTTCCCATCTCTAATCATAGTTGTAAAGCTATCAGCAGTACATATTGTTTGTAACTGGACAGGTGCAGTTGGCTATTATCTGCCATCCTGAAATGCAAATACTGTCCTGCAGGAAGCAGGTGCAGCAGATATAGATCCATTCACATATTGCTTGATTGGTTTTAATGGCTGACTGTTTTCTGTCATGTGATCTGTTGACAGTCATTTTAATGCAGCAGTCCGGTGCAGAAGCCTATATAGAGCCAAAGCACGTGGAAAGAATATGTTAAATTCCTGTAAAAATCCAAATTACTCAATGGCAATACTGGGCATCGGCTTTGGCAGAGGTGTGCGGTCTGAGTGCCTAGTGAGAATTGAACTGTTGCTGGCCAATATTTAGCTAATTTGTTTGTCTTTTATAATGTTTACCTTTGGGTATTACTAATATATCAATCACTTGGGTCACTTTTTCTAGGCAGAAATAGCCAATTAAGCTCTCAACGTTTAGGTTTTCTCACATGACAGTGAAATACATGTTGGATTTGTGCTGGGAGTGGAATAAAACGATAGATTAAAGGAAGCAAGGCAAATTGTCACGGGCCAGCTTTTGCACTTTCTGATATTTTAAAATATTAGAATAACCTAAAAAAAAGCCAGATCATTCACAGCGCTAATATTTAATAAACAGATATTTTGTTACGTTTAATTTAAAATGAAAAATAAAATAAAAATCCCCATTTTTAGTGATGAGAAGTGAGCGGTGTAGTGAGAGGACTTTGACTTTCCATCAGTGCGTAATAAATGTAATCTTCAGTATAATTTGACGCAGAGGATGGCTCCTGTGTGGTTTTGGAGCTTGCAACAAGTGTGTGTGCGTTTGGCGGGGGGTTCCGCCTTTGATGCGACGAGTGAAGACAAGTCCGTATCCCACCTGGTCTCTGTGTGTGTGCTGCATGTCGCCTGCTACGCATATGTCCCCGGGTGCTCCGCTCGCGGACGGATGCGCTGCGCACAGTGTTGAATGCTGGACTGCACCATTCCTGTCGTCTCCAGCGGGGAGGCTGTAATCCGATCCCGTTGGTAGGAGCCGTCGTGCAGCCTGCGAAGAGGAAGAGGGCACTGCTCTGTGCTCTGACGCTTCTCTTCCTGCACTCCTCCCCCTTTCTGCCGAGTATCACCCTCTTTCTCCCCCTCATCTGTTCACTCCCTGCTCGGCGGCGCACAAGCCTCCGGAATCGTCGCAGTGCATTGTTCACCCATCGACCTAGCCCCTTCAAGTCGACGTGATACGACGGAGCTTTCCCCCCTCTTTCTTTCTTCTACTACTTCTTTTTTTCTTTTCCCCTGTCAATGTCTTTACCGGTGGAATCTACTGCATGCACGCCAGTCCGGTGACGTGCCCGAGCATGTTCACATCAGAGCCAGCGTCGGATTTACCTGAGAGTAGACTGCCCTCACACTGTCAGAGCGATCTCGCCGCCGCGCAAGCAGATTTGGACTTCACCGATTGTCACTGAGAAGCAAAGGAAAAAGGGGGGAAACACACCGGATTACAAGGATGGGGTTCTACGGCACTTTAAAGATGATTTTCTACAAAGTGAGTAGGATTTCTTCTCGTATTATCCGCCGTGTCACCTCCGGCACATCCTCATCTTCTCTCCGTGTGTTTGGCTCGCTCTGTCGCCCACATTATCTTTGACGCGCCTCTCGCGGCAGATCGTACGGCCACTGCGGAGGATGGACAGCATTGTAGCAGACCCCCAGAGATGCCTCTTTAATTGCCCAGGCCGTAATGTTGTGTTAGCGTTGCGTTAAAATCTTTTAATACGCTACTAAGCCGTTTGACGTCCTTTCCGTCATAGTAACTTCGGCTGTGTAAATAAACGCCGCCACCGCCGCGGTTCCGGGTGACATTCATCGCGTTGGTGAATTTGTTGTTGCTTTGGGGGTGCTTAATTCTGCAATCCCCGATAAAAATGTGCTTACAATTAGGCGTTATACACTCCTGAATGGAACGAAGCCCCCATTTTTTTTTATTTTTTTTTATGTATTTCCCCCCTTACCTCCCATCAGTGTTGTACAGGTGCAGAGCATCTTACCATCAACTGTGGGTCCTCCCTTTCACAGACCCTAGTAGGTGCTTAAGCAATTACACATTTTACGTAATACAGCGCTGATGGAGCACCATGTATGCTTAGGTACATTCAGAAATAAGGGCTTCAAGCTCAAAGACGCCCAGGTTCCCCTGCAGTCCTGCCCAGTTTGCAGGGTTGTTATGATTGTACATTATGCAGCAGTGGCTATCTCCCACTGACCAAAGTAACTGCTTGAGATGCATGCATGCATCAGTCTGCCTGCATTTGCCTGTTGGAGTAGCCAATTCCCTGACACTGTGCACTTGCCTCAGGCTCCAACTACAGATAATGGGTCACTGTGTCAGACAGCATGAGGTAGAATATCCTCAAGGATGTTGGGTGTATTATGCTGGATTGCAGCCATAAAAATCGTCCTCCCTTAGCTGGAAAATGCAGAGTACAAACCAACGCGGGAAAACAACAAAAAAAAAGCATGAAAGAGAATTTATAATTCAGACAATGTAAACAAATTCGTTAATCGTGTATAATTTTAAAACGCGGTTCAAAATATCCCTTGGGGTGGGGGATTTTTATCCAGTTAATCCTAATAATTGCACGAGAGTCTTGTTAATAGATGAATAGCGCTTCATTGATTTGAATGTTCATGCTCATTTGTATTCTCCATCCATTTTAAGGATGTACTCATTCTCAGACGTATCAGGATTTTCAAGTCATCCTGCAGAGCGCAAATATATTAGTGCTGCTTGCGGGGCTCGTAGTAGGAGACTCTCATTTTTGAGGATGAATTCAAACCCGTGTTTCTGATTTGATTGCAGTTTTGGTCCTGGAAAAACTCCTTCAACTAGCTCTCAGATCCCAAGCGTTTCTGTGCCTCAAACAGTGCTGATTGAAATGAGGAGAAACTCTTTGACGAGTGCTTGAAAACACAATTTGAAAAATGAGAAAAGCCTTTTCTCGTGACTGATGCTGCAGGATGTAGTCGCCGTTAAAATGAATCAACACATTATGTAAGAATGATCGCTGTCTTTAAAATATCATTAACTCTCTGCATATCCATCTGTCGTGCTTTTGGCCAGATAGGGACGTGGGGGTGGGGGGGAAGCCAGAGGAAGGAGGGGGACGGCTGATTGGTGGTGATTTACAAACACTGTGTTCTCTGGTTACCTTTTCCCAGGCTGAAGCTGCAGAACAGGCTGGTTACACATTATTTTTTCATGCCCGCATTTAGTTTGAGGTTTTCTTACATGTGTGTGCACACACTCAAAGCCAGCCAGCACTCCCCTCTCTTCTCTCACACTCTGAATCACACACACAAAAAACATACGCGCGCGCACACACATACACACCCTCTGCATGCATTCACACACCCAGGCTCTCCTTGGCTACTGAACTGCCATTGCAGTGAGATCACCACTTTAGGAACAAGGCAGCCAGGTTTAAGAGCCCAGTCTTAACAATCCTGAATATCTTATAAACCCCTTTTTATATTATTCAGCAATCACACAAGCAAAAAATGTAGACAAAGGAAACACAAGCTATGTACCTGCCTAGCTTGGACTACATTTGCATTCTTGTTGCCAAATTTTCGAGTTTCTTTTCTGTACCTCCCCCTCATGAATTACTTCAGGTTTTTATGGTTCCTCCCTATGAGCTTTCAGCGGCTTCACGCATGAGCTGAGTTGTGAGGAAAGAATCACAAATCATTGGTCAGATCACAGTGTGGTCTCCAGCAGGCACCTTACCTGCAGTGCACATTGATGTGCTAATCATGCGCATGTGTTGTATAAGCTCAGACTTTGGTTGCCTGTCGGAAGTTTCAAGGCAGAGTCTGTAAAGATTCAAAACTAAGGTAGGAATCCGTATCGATCAGAAGTCCATGGCTGCCAGTGCAGATGTGCTGCTCGTTATTCAGCATTTCTCTAGTCGTGGGCAAATGTTGCTTCCACATTCTTTTTTCTTTTTTTTTTGTGTGTGTCACTGTTCTCAACATTCACATGAGTAACCCTCACATTTAAAACACAGTGAAAACCGACACACACACACACACACACACACACACACACACACACACACACACACACACACACACACACACACTAAATTATAGTGATAAACAAAAAAACACACATCTTTGAAGAGAAGCATGTAATCATTCCACTGTAGCGCCAGACAGTATGGAGTCAAGTGTCCAGTGGTGTTTTCCTGTGTCGCATATGAACTACAATAATACACCAAAAAAAATGCATTGTTTGTGTCAAAGGGGGGAAAAGTTAAATTTACATTTGGTTTTTGGCTTCTACGCATAATCATCCGATTATACAGTCGCAGAAGCGTTCAAGGAGCAAACTTTCAGGTTGTGTGTTTGGAGCACAACAGGCTGGACTGTAACTGTAAACAAACTGTTGCCAAATACCTTTGACCCTAAACTGCTGCGCCACGAGTACTATAATCTTGTGAGAAAATCATTGATGTTAGAACTGCAGTGATGAGTTCAATAGTAGGGTTAGGAGATGGATTGCCGTTTTTACTTCATAAGAAAACAATCACCCCACACCTGTCATTTGTTTCAATTTCAGGGTTTGTTTTGTTTTGTTTTTTAATACTTTTGGATGGCTGAGTGAACAAAACACACATTAGCATTTGGCTCCGACATCTTTACACCCATCAGATCCCTGACAAATATTCAGGGATGGGTTTTGGATGTGTTTCAGCCACATGCTGAACAAATACCTTTTCAGAAGTTAGAATTTATGACCTTTTAAATGAAGTCTCTTGTGCTTGGCCTTGCAGTTTTTTGTTTAGTTTTTTTTTTCTTCCTTTTTTAAGCATTACCATTCGCCAGTGTTGACCTAACATGACCCCTAACCCTGAGCTGTACCTTGAGATTTTAACAGTACTATAACTCTTAGCTGCTCCACTTATCTTTCTGGTGCTTCAATTGTCAATACTTTATTGGAGATGACTCAAATTAAGAACAAGATATCGTGCATTAGTATATAATATAACTATTTTCCCCCATAACGACGATGAGTTGACGCCCCAGTTAATATCAATATAGATGTAGTTTGACGACCATTACAATGTGTTACATGTTTTCCAAGGGTAGCTCTAGTAGGCTGTATAGGCAGAGATCACATCACTAACCTCCAACTGAATCCCCTCGCCTGAATGTGATGGATTTTCACTAAATGTTTCGACAGGCTGTTTATGTTTCTGCCTTTACAAGAAAAAGTTCTACTGCATTTGTGGCAACAAGCACCATCAGCGAAGTGCGGCCACACTTTTGAGTAATTGATTCTCCCCACCTTCCTCACAAAGATTCAGGGTCTGTGTATGGATGGGTGAGACGGAGCTGCACCCACTCTTTGCGTGCAGGCTCTCAGGAAGATACGGAGAACCCTCTTCTGCATGGGAGCTAGTATGACTGCATCAAGTCTTAGTCAGTAATGCAAGTGGTCAGGTAAAATTTATAACATAACTTTTGCACCAATAATATATTTGAAAGCCATACTGATGACAACGGGGCGAGAAAATAATAAGCTTATAAACTGATAATGAAAATACTTGTTTCTTGCAGACTTGATGCATAATTAAAGTGCATTTTGATATATATATATTTTTTACGTCATACTTTTGCTGATATTACAAAGGAGCTGGGCTACAAGGATAAGGATCGGAAAAGGATTTGGTTTTGAATCCATGGGTTTACTTTTTAAATCTACAAAAGCCTTCACTGAAATATGAAATATATTTAAATATTAAAAAGAACAAGGCCAGGCTGTTAGATTGTATATTGTTTTGGCCAGACACTAAAAATCAGTGTTCATTTATTCAGCTAGATTGTTTATTCATGAGGGACTGGAGATGAGATGGTGATCACTTGCATGTGTGTTGAGAAGCCTTGCCAAAGAAAGTGGCAGGCATGGGATGAGGAAAATTGGCTTGCCCGGGCCTCTACACAGGCTCCTTTGTTTGCACGGTAGGGTAGGTGGTAACAGGGACTGGGTGGTGTTGCGTACGTGGAGGTGATGGAGAATAATAAAGAACTGACTTGCTTGTTTTTTTTCCTTTTCTTTCTGAATTATTGGCGCATTTCAAAGAATAAACCCTAGTACCTGCTTGAGGAACTTGTTATACTTTGTGGTTATTTTGTGCGTACAGGCATGCTTTATCCTTTGAGTTTGGGTGTGAGTGCGGTTACCTATTATTGCATATTATTGGATTTCTGGTTGCTCAGTTCTCTCAATCAAAATTAAACACAGCACAGAAAAACACCTTTTCTGTGATGTGCCATCTCAGAGTGTATGCTGAGCTGGGTCACGGACAGATTGGTCATGTCTCTGTGCTTTGTTATGGCACATGTTAATTATTGAATCTCCAGCCCATGCATAAAAGTTTAATTTTTCCATTTGCATTAAACTTTTGCAAGACTGTGCTGTCTGTATTTTAATATGCAAAAATTCAGACGTTATGCTAACAAAGTCTGTAACTTGCAGGAATAATTTTCTGCTTCCAGCACAGTTTAAAAAAAAATAGCTCCCTGACCCGTGTCCCTTCTTGATTTTCTTTTCAAGCGCTAATGTCTTAGAACTAAATTGGTTTAGATTTTGTTTCTAAAAGAAAGTTACCAGAATGGAGTTGAATTTATGTCCAAAAGGTTGCCTCTAGCTTTTAAATACAACATTTCCCACTTTTGTGCTTTCACTGTTACTAAGGTTTTTGTTTCTCCCCTTGTTCTTCCTCAGATGAAGAGAAAGTTGGACCATGGTCCCGAGGTCCGATCTTTCCCTTCAGGAAAAAAGCCCTGCAAAGGTCCAGAGTATCCGAGGTAAGAGAGCTTTTTCTCTCATAAGGCACCCCAGCTATCCACAGACTCATTTTCCCTTGTATTTTTGTTTATCATCTTAGGATCAAAAAGATTATGGTAGAAAATAATAAAGTAAAAATTCTTCCTCCATTGTTTTCATGCTGAACATGTTATAATTGGGACTACCAAGGCAAGCAGTAAAAAATGCCAGGAGGCATAAACAAAGGTTTGCATTGTATATGTGTAAACAGAGGGATGCTCCCTCTTCCATTCTGTCTGCACCATCCAGCCAGCCAGTGGTCCCAGATGTTTCTCTTACCCTGAATATTTAATGCCCGTGTTCACATGTAGCTCCATTAAAATTCAAACTGAACACAGCCACTTAACTGTAAATGTTGCTATGTAACTCGCTCCGTCTCAGCTTCCTCTCCCATTAAAAATGAATCAATAATGAAATCGACCCCCAGCTTCCCATTTTGCTGTCAGCAAGCAGAATGTGAGGCATCGAGGGTGCCCAGTGGATGGCTTCTGCTGCTGCCCTTACATTACAAGGCTACATGGGTACACTTTGAAGTCCTGTGCTGCCTTCCGCATCCAGATACAGCAGGAGACTCTGGGCCTGAATAGAAATATGTGGGACTGTGCACACTTTGAAGTCTGAGGTAGAAATAACACTTGCCATTTTATTAAGTATACATGGCGAGAACAAATGCTCCTCTGCAATAAATCCCGTCTCCGTGAAGGTTGTATTGATCAGTTTTTGTTGAAATGGTTTTAAAGAGGTGTTGATTCATTGTAATGCACATTCTGGAGGTTGTAGCTTGTGCTGCTGAATGGTGATGAATTGCATTGCATTATACAGAGAGGCCTTGTGTTAATCAGTCGGCACTAATTCAGTCAGACAAGGTGGATATTTATTTTATTTTATTTTTTAAATTGCAATGCTTTTGTGAAGAGTAACTTTTTCTTACTGCAAATAATTATTTTTTTCTGGAAGTAATTACGATGTGATAAAGATGTACTTGTAGAGTTGTTGATTAGCTTGAAAATAATAATCATTTTTAAAGTAAATGTCAGTTTAATTGATTTAACCTATGACTTCCCAATAATAACTAAGAACGGATTTAATTAAGAAAATTGCTCTAAAGTAAAAAAAATTTAAAAATTAAAATTTGCCTGCAAAATAAAAGCTTGGGCTTGATTGCTGTCATAATTGTCAGAGATAACACAAAAGATGAAAGTTGAATGTAAAAAGGTTTCGTTTTGTTTGTTTTTTTTTGTCCATGCCTGATTTGATTTAGCAGAGTTTGCAGCAAAGCTTATTTAAAAAGCCCCTTCATAATGTGCTTCCTGTTATTCTCATTAAGAATATGCTGGGATGTGTAATATTTACATGTGTTTTTCTTAATTGCAGTGACAGCAGTGCTTTTACAGCCTCCACACCCCTACTTAGACTGCAATTTAGTTACGCTATTTGTCTTTAAAGGTCTCATATCAGCATTGGTCTTCAAGATGCTTTGTTTCCTCCCTTTTAAAATTACAGCCCGACGGGAATTGTCCCATGTCCGGCCACACCCACCACATTTGGCCACATCAGAACAGCCAATGGTCAGGGGCAACAGAGACGACGTATCACCTCAATCCAGCCACCCACGGGTCTCCAGGAATGGCTCCGAACATTTCAGGTGAGCGCTCTGGAGTCTTTTTCTTTTTCTTTCTTTTTCCCCACTCTTGGGCGATTCTGAACCCTCGAGGAAAAGCTCATCACAAAGCAGATGTTGCGTCCAATCAATGTTCACTTAGTCTCCGAGATAATTGCTGCCTTGTTGTTGTGGCCCAGCACATTACCATAGGCACTGTAGCGTGGAATTGGGATTAGCCGTACCTGTTCAGACTGAAAAGCAGAGTTATAAGATCACATTAGTCTACTCTACACTTTTTATTTAACCTTTATTTAACCAGGAACTCCCGCTGGGATTAAAATCCTTTTAAAGGAAGTCATGGCCTGTGCTTTTCTTCTTCTTTTTTCCCCTCTGCGATCCTCTGAAATGGAGACGTTACTTCAGTGTGAATGTCTTCCATGAGCAAAGTTGGCATAAAAACTTTTGTCCTCTTTTTAGCCACTTAAGTAATTAACTGTCATTTACTCTAGAGACTAGCAAAGACATGATGTAATATTATAGTTTACCCCCTATTTATGGTAAATTTCCTATGTTATCATTCTCTGATGGATACAACCTAATAGAGTCATTTCTTTCATGTTAAACTGAAGCGCTAATGACTTCAAGGAAATAGGATGTCATTTAAACATATTAGCCTGGATTGGGCCTCTCTGATTTTCTATATAATGGGTTACCATGGATTTCATTACCTAAGAGAGTTTAAACCTATTATCTTTGAACAGCAGGGTGAACCCGTGACACCTTGGTGTTTGTTTTACATATATTAGTCCTCAGGCCAGAACATCAGTCTGCTCTCTTTAATCGTACAGCTGAAGCTACAGGGGGATAAACCTCAAGTTCACATTCTGTACATTCCCCAGTCCAGTCAAAGCCTGCATGTAGCTCCCGTTAGTGAGAAACACCTCTTACATACGTGCACCATCACCGACACCTCGCATATCACATCCCAGGATTAGTTGGAGATTTTTAGAAATGGGCTTATTTCTCCTTTTTGTCGAGTTAAATGAGGAATCTGCTGCCACTCGTGTCTTTAGATGAAATGTAAAGATACAACAAGTGGCTACTTACATTAGCTTTGCAGAAAGAGTGGCAACAAAGGGAAACTCTTAAGATGACTGTGTTAAAGGTAACAAAATCCACCTAATGTCTAAAGCTTATTCATTAGCATATCTCCGTTGTTTAATTTGTACTCGAGCAGAAGTGTAAAAACAATGGGCCTCAGTCTTAATTGTCATTGTCATTAGAACTGGTGTAAAAGATCACATGATTGCCTCTTTAGTCTTTATAGCTTGTAGACATCCTCCTTGTTTTGTTCACAGTTGTTGTTTTTTAAAGAAAGTTTAGTTTGAGGGGCTGTATGAGAAGCTTGGACTGTTTTTTGAGTCGTCCGGGGGTTTGTGTTGCCCAGGTCTGGTCTACGGACACTTTGTCAAGCTTAAATTAGAAAAAAGCATCTTTGAAAAACACTGCAGGCTGTAGTTTGAAAGTTTACTGGACAAAAAGGTTCTCAGCACTGGTTGGGAATTGTGGAGCTCTGGTGTTCAGGTTTCTGTGGGAGTGCAAATTATCAGTTGTGAAAACACATAAGTAGCTGTTGCACAGCCCCCTCCCTCCCTCTGTCAGGGAGGGGGTCTCTTAACTGCCTGATTAGCTTTAGAACCAACACCTCTGGCTAAAGCTTTTAGCTGCCAAATTACAGGTGGTTTGCGTATGCCAGATTTTCCACCCTGCCTCGTAGCCTGTAATCATTGTCTGGATTTCAGTGCTCCACAGAGGGGAAAACAACTATGACTGTGGGGTCCAACATACGGTTAGAGAGCTGCTCAGCAGTAACTGAATGTTCAAGCAGAAGAAATAAGCATGCTGACTACTAATAATGGTCTTGATGGAGTCTAGTTCCTCGTATTCACATTTTCCACTGCTGTAAATATGCAGGTGCCTCGAGCAATCCGGTGCTGCAGTGGAGGGCACGTAGGGAACATTAAGGTGTCAGGCATCCTGCACAAGGAAGGATGCTTCCAAGGCGCTCCAATCCAAGTTCAGACTTGGAAGAAAAACTTACACAAGAACACGTAGGCGTCATTCTGTTCCCACAATGCCCCAATGCTGTTTTCAATTTGTGCTACTTGTGGATGTATACGAAATATGCTGCTGATGGTGTTAAATTAGTCCACTGCCAGGTGGTTTAGAGCAACCAGACAAAGAAAAAGGCACACAATTCATAGGAACAGACCGAAATAAAAGCAGGGAAGGTACCTGTAATCTTTGTAAAAGTAGCAGGGACAGTTATTGTGGTTGGATAAATAAAAGCAAAGTTCATAAAATCACTTTAAAGTCATATTATTTTAACATAAACCTTCGGTTCCTCTGGGTAATCTCTTAACTTGCCTCATAGCTTTGGCTGCAAAGAAATGTTTTTACAAGTGGGTCACTGTTTTCTTTCCTCATGCACACAATCCTGTATTTAAATTGAAGGAAGAAAAAGCTTTGCATCTGTTTTATGGGAAACCAAATGCATTCAACACATTCATTAGGCTTCAAGGTAAATTACAAGAAAACTCCATAAAGCTCCTCTTTTTTTTAATGTTGCTGCAAAGTCATCAAATCCTGCTAGAAGCTCTGTAAACCCTAGATTTAAAATTAACTTCTTGTCATACATTTTTTTCCCAAGCATAATACATAATGTAGCGGCGAGGGAGAAAGTTTTGATCTAAAATAACATTACATTTTGCTGTGATGTTCTGTACATGACTGACACCATTGCACCTCTGGTGTTTTCTACTAAATTGGCCTCTTTTTCCCATTGACCCAGGCTTCGACTTTGAAACAGCCACATTTAATGGTTCCCGTCTTCAAAGTAAAGTCATTTGAATAATTTCAATTTTCTCTCTCTGTCTGTCTGTCTGTCTGTCTGTCTTCCAGAGCTGGACTGGCCCAGAGAAGCTGCTGGCGCTGGATGAGTTGATTGACAGCTGTGAGCCCACACAAGTGAAGCATATGATGCAGGTGATCGAGCCGCAGTTTCAGCGAGATTTCATCTCCCTGCTGCCCAAAGAAGTGAGTTCCCCTCAAGCGCCTCGCCCCCTCTGCCTCAGCTTCCTGTGTATTCTGACCTGAACTCCCACAAGAAGCTTTTATATTTGTTCTCGAATGAACGCACCTCAAAAAGACACAAGGCAGTCGTCTCAGCCTTGATCGTCCGTCGGTCTTCGGTCTTCCCTCGCATCATTTTAGGGCATCCATAGTGGGTGTCTTGTTTTTTGCTCTACATCATAACTGACAAAACAAACAATGTAAAGTGGCACGCTGATAATGTGACATAGGGGATTCTTAACAAATCGGCCTCAATTTGCTGAAGCTTGTGTAGCAGATCAGAGACTTCACACCTTGTCTGGCAGGTGTCAGGATTGAGGGTGGGTGGGGGTAGCGTGGAGAGTGAGGCAATAGGATGCAACATTTCAAGGTGTTGGTGTCACTTGCTCTAAAGCCAAATATACAAACAGCTTTATGTGTGTTTGCACTGGTACATGAGACCTCTCCTTTCATTCTGTTTCTACTTAAAAGAAAAATGAGCAAAGAAACCAAACAACAACAACAAGCGGCTTTGACTTCTTTTGATAATCCCACCTCTCCTCTTAGATCCAGCTCCAGGAAAAATATTAGGTGTGGCTGTCAAGTAATTTTAGCAGGACGGTCCCTGTGGGTTACACTTGAGATACAGTCGAAATTGAAACTATGAACAGATTCTGCAGAAGGCTGAGTGTCAGACTTTAAAAGCAATTTGAGATTGATTTGTAAAACTATTAAAATATCCTCTGGCCTGTAATGATGGCCGGCTTAGATGGGCTTTGGGGTGATTCAGGTATAACGGTGACTTGAAGTAGACCTAACTGTGTAGTGTAACACATTTAAACGAAGGAGAAGAGATGATTGAACAAATTAAGACTTACTTTTGACTGATTAATTTTGTGTGGATGAATCTAGCATATTAATTCACTATAGCTGAATAGAGTATAGACAGATTCTCAGTCACTATTATGGATCCATCATTAATTAAAATGGAGAAGACAACTGATTAATTGGCTGTGATGGAAAAGCAATACGAGCACATCACTTTGAGCTGTCAGAAATTATATATGATGACGACTTTATATTTTTCTCTAAACTTTTCAGATCAATAATAATTGACAGCTGGAGACCATCCTAAGTAATTTGACTCCATGCTGATGTTCGTGGCAACACACCTGAATTTGTTACTCTGTCGTGGGGTCGCTGTCATCTCATATTGTTGTCGGATAATGAAAGAACAATATTTACACAGCAGCTTACGCCTCATACTGTCAAATGAACCCGTAATCCTTTTTTATGCAGATGCACAACAATCTCTTGACCTAACAGGTGATCCAGCTCATTGCTTTTGTGCAAATATATATGTATTTGAATTTGATTGTTAGTCACCTGCTTTTTTGTTCCACTATCTTTCTGGTTTATGCTCATTTGGTTCAATGAGCCTTGAGCCTTGAGACTTTTGGGGGATAGTTTTAGTTTGAAAAGTCATTAATGTGAGTTTGGATGGACAGAAACGGGACTTCTGGAAACAATCATCCAGGTTTTCATCTCACAAGACTAAAAAAGTAGACCTGTCATCTTCTGCTTTTGGCTAATCCCATTAGCTTCAATCTCACCCTATCCCTAGCATCCTCTTCTCTCACACCACCTCCTGCATGTTCTTCACTACATCCATGAACCTTTTTTGCGATCTTTCTCTTATCTTCCTACCTGGCAGTCTTCCTTTGTCCAGTATGTTCACTATCCCTCCTCTGCACATGTCCAAACCGTCTCAGCTTTGCCTCTCTCTTTGTCTCCAAACAGCTGAACCTGAGCTGTCTCTCTAATGTACTCATTTCTAATCCTGTCTCTCCTGGTCAAGCTGTAAACTCTTAGTCTATTCTTCTTGGTCAATATATGATGTACATTGTAAATAATGTACATCATATATTGACCATTAGGTTATTGAAAATATGTTATGTATGTCACCTTAAACTGTTGTTTACATCAACTGTAGAAAGTTATAGCTTCTTTTTCCTCCCCCCATTACTGCTTTACACCTTTCACATTGCTCGTCCTTGTCTTTCAACAGCTGGCTTTATACGTGCTGTCATTCCTGGAACCGAAGGACCTCCTCCAAGCAGCACAGACGTGTCGCTACTGGCGCATCCTTGCAGAAGACAACCTGCTGTGGAGGGAGAAATGCAGGGAAGAGGGTGAGCCTAACTGTTTGCAACAGATGCAGGCAGACAGACACTATGCGGTCGCCCAGCGGGAGCCCAGCGGGAGCAGTCTGAAGCGACTGCTGTGCTTAAAATTGTGGTTATTCCTGTTTGGAAAAATGCACTTTTATTGAAAAACAAGGACATTTTAGTCCAACTGGCTTCTTTTCTCCCTTCTCACAGGTATCGATGAGCCCCTTACCCTGAAGAAGAGAAAAATTGTCAAGCCTGGCTTCACTCACAGCCCCTGGAAGAGTGCCTATATCAGGCAGCACAGAATAGACACTAACTGGAGGAGAGGGGACCTCAAATCACCTAAGGTAGCTTTTCTTTCGAACTTAAATTCCCCACAGGTTAGAGGAGTTTTACAGATCTGATCAAATGGCCTTGAGGCACAGAAAGATGGTTCAATAAGAGTCTGAAGTGTTAAACTGATGGAAAGTTAGTGAACAGTCAGGTTTGTGCTCCCAGGTATTTGTTTGGAATATTAATTGAGCTGGAGCACAGGAAAATCTTATTCTCCTTCACATTAAAGACTCGCCGTCTCTTTTACCTGTTCAGAAGCTTCTCATAGAGCATGACCAGCATGCTGAAGCTCATCCTTAATGGACCTTGTACGCTGTAGCTGTTTGTGAAACGGCTGCAGGTCATTTTAGGCCGCGACTGGCATAAATTAGTTCCCCACGCTCGTTATAGTCCTTTGCATATGCAGTGTGCCCTGTCAGTTGCTGAGCTCGCAGTCCTGTGACCCACTAGCTGAGACTGAATGTATGCAGCACTGCTTAAAGCGCTGTGTACACCTGCAGCGCTTGATGACATTTTCACTTTGATGCATAAGAAGTGTTACTGTCAGCATCATTATTTGCGTTGTCATTCCACATCAAATCTTCCTCCGTGCCCTTCCCGCTTCATCTCTTTTCATGTGTCCCATTTAAAGGTGCTCAAAGGCCACGATGACCATGTGATCACCTGCCTCCAGTTCTGTGGCAATCGCATCGTCAGCGGCTCTGACGACAACACGCTGAAAGTCTGGTCAGCTATCACAGGAAAGGTAAGAGTTGAATACTGTTACATTTTGGATGTACGCAGAAGAGAAGGGAGGCAGGCACTAATATGAATAATGGGCTGTTTGCTTAATCATACTACTTTTTACACTCATTGATTAGAAGTGAAGGTAACAACTGTGTTGAATTGATTTAAATACTGTATCTTTAGTGCTCCCACTGATATAATTTTGCGTTACACTACCACATAAAAATCTTCCTGGGAAGACTGCTTTCTGTCCCAGTCTCTCCTCTCTTATATTTATCTATTTTGCAGACTTGTAACACAGCCCATGTCCACACGCGGTGTTAGTATTCATAGCTGAAGCTGGTGCAGACACACAGGCGTTGTGCTGCAGCTTTACGCTGTGTATTAAAAAGAAAGGCAGTGGTTGCTCTGTGATATTGGAGAGCGCTTTACAGATCGTGGTAAATCACAACACTTTCATGCCTCAATGCTGGACTCCTTTCTCAAAAGAAGTTTTCACAAAAAGTCCTTCATTATTTCTCTTCCCAGTCTATCCCTTTTGCTTTTTTTGCTCAGATAAATGACATAAGGCTGGGCTTGAACTTGGTCTTTAAAAATGAAAACTTTCAAAGAAAAACCTCTCAAAGGGGGAGAAAAAAAAGAGATGTTCTGCATGATCACAGTGGGGCGTTTCGGCCTCACTTTCACATGTAAAAGAGTTGAGTTTGCTTTTCATTGCTGCGGAGATTCGGCTGAACACATAAAGTAAAGTTGGCTCTCTCCCAACTGGTGATTACATGCATATCAGTCACAGTCACATTTGCTGATCTGAACAGATCTCGCCAAGGTCATCCGATAGGCATGGAGCACAGTTTGGCTCTCCTACACCCAAAGACTAATATCTGGATGACAGGTTGCTGAATTATAGCTGCAGTAGCTCCATATTGGTGGTGGAAGCCTGTGATGAGTCACATCACCAGCAGGCTCTAAAGCTCCCCCCCCTCCCCCCTCAACCCACCCTGCATTCAGAATGACATCACAGACAGAGGTTATTGTATGCGCTTTCTACAATGCTAATCTGCCTCAGGATTGTTTGTTTACATTAGTCATGAAGGCGAGATGAGCCTAAATCCGTGTTTGGTTGCTGTATTCAGAGCACACATTCCCTCTGTGGATTTCATCTCTTTGCCTCCTTAGCTCTCAGCACCACAGAGAGTGAATCCCTCACTGGAGAGGAATGGCCAGTTAAGCCGAATCGACCATTTCGGTGAAGTGGCTGTCGATGCCAGTAAAACTGTAAAGTAAAAATACAATGAGATTACCGGCCCCTGGATTTGTTTTTTCTCCCTGCTGTCAGAATTCTTTATAGTCTTTGCCAGCTTATTTGAAGACTTGATTGCTACTTTTTCTTAGTCCGTCTCTGAGATGCAGGTCTGTAAAGTGGCTGTCAGTGATCTTGAAGTGTTACACAGCTTACAATGGCTGCTGTAACTACCAGTGTTCATATCAATATCATTTCTCTGGGGTGGAGGGGGGGTGGAGGGGGGGGGGGGGGGGGGGGGGGGTTGTCATATTGCACGTCTCCCAAGATTGTAGCCATTATCTTTTCTCTGTAATTTTTTTTGTAGTGATTTATTTTAATTTCCTACACCTTTTTGTAAACAAATCTTTCAACTTCAGCAAAGCACAGTCACCCAGTCTCTACTTCTACAGCCCTGCCACTTAACTCTTACTGAGACCTGGATCAATAAGAGACTGCAGCATGGTGATCAGCTGAGATGAGAAACTGTGATTGTGTTATACTTTTTTTTTTTATATATATATAAATCATGCTCTGAAAGGACGGTATGTTTGATTCGGGGTCAGAAGTAGTCCCTCAAATCAGTAATGACTTTGGTGACTGATTATAGATTACAAAGGTAAATTGGCTCAGAGATCAGTGTGGTTACCTTTTCTCCAGGAGAGTGCAGAGATCCACCTGCAGCAGCATGCTTTGCAGGTGGGTGATTTAAAAAGTCGGGATGGGAAAAGAAATTGGTCACTGCGTAGACAATTTGTGCCAAAGAGAGACCACTATTAACGCTTCCCTCCTGTTTGTGCTCCTCTGCCTCAGAAACATTGCTTCCACTTTAGAGGCATCGGTACAGTTCCCCTGTGATGGGATACTGTGGGGTGACTCAAAGGCTGCCGCATTCAAAATGTTCTCAGTGTTGTCTTTACACCAAATACTGCATCCGATTAGATGTTTCCATCGGCTGTTTAATGAATCTGTTGACAATACCCTCTTCTCTCCCAGATTTGTTTGTGAATTGTGTATTTTTCAAACTCATTAGGTATTTTTTAGCATAGAAAGTGTGCATTATATTAATAAGCCTCATTTGCATGAGCATGGCCTAAATTTTTAATTGCTCAACAAATATTCATCAGATGCAGTTACTCCAGCAAAAATAGAGCTTTAACAAACACCACAACCAGCATTTGCCTTTTCATCTTTGCAGCTAGTTTTGTCCTGCCCCTCGATTCATCTTGTTATGTAAAACACGGCGACTTGAACCCATTCTGTGAGGTAATCAGGGAATTATTATATGAGAATATTTTATATAAAGACTTCCGTACCTGGAACAAAACTGGGTTGCTAGCTAGTAATCAGATTAGACAGTGGGTTTTATTTATGGTGGAAGTACTGCAAGAAGCAAGCAGTGCTTAAATTTTAAACAATATAACATTATCTGCTGGATCTTGGAGACGTGTGGTCTGGCAGATCTTCAAAGCTTCTTTTTCCTGCTGAAGAAACTGTTGCGTAGACGGTTCTTGAAGGCTCCGTCTTTGGCTGGATGGACCTTTGTCTTTGCTTGTCTCCAGCTTCAGCCGGGGACGTCAATCTTCCATCCAAGCACACAAACAAACACATCTTGCTGCTTCAAAGGTGGCTACCTTGTGCTTAACAGAGCAGAGTGTGTCCTTGGTGGTGCCTGTCAGAGGCAGCCTCAGCTGTCAGGCAGATTTAAGATGGCAGAGCTGCGGACTACCGTCGTATTCAGGGAGAGGTGTCCTCTGCGAGACACTTTAGCCGCATTGACACGCGTCCCCTGTTTTTAACTGAAAACAAGGGGAGATCCACAGATTAGAGGTGGCTTTGGGAACTGTTAACAGACTGATTAGCGAGCATCTGAAATCATTCATTAAATGAAAGTATGGATTATTTCTCCATGTAGATCAACCTGTATCAAGATTCTTATCCTCAGCTGATTGAATATTGTGCATTCATAATGAAGCCTCTTTTTTTTTTTTTTTTTTCTCACTCTTTCTGTGGAGGAAGCACCGTGTGATTACCCATACTTATGTGACACGTCTGTATTATCCACTTAGTACTTGGAGACAAACAGTAGATCAAAACCATGTCATCAAATCATCAACACATGGAAAAGGCAAATAAGAGAGGGGAAGAACACATTAGTAAGACTCTGTTCGCCTGCCGCTTTGGTTATGCGTTTCATAGTCTATCTTGAGACATTTGTAACCTCTCGTTCCTCTACTGTCAAACAGTCAAGTATGGAAATGAAACTATAGCCGCAGTAATCTCTTAATCATCTGGTATCAGGCTATAATTATCTGATGGCTTCACCTGAGCCAGTTTATTTTAACCTTTGCTAAGCATTAGTTGAACCCACATTGAGCCCTACATGTGGCCCACATTTTCTCATATTTGAGGTCTTGAAAGGTGGACTGTTCAATACAAAGGGAAATCTCCTGCATTTGTCTTTCAATGAGGCCAGCTCTCAGGTTGCTAAAGCGGATACTCCCCCGCCACAGTTTTTAAACCAAGACGAGATCTGAAGCAAATGTAAAGCATTGTATGAAAACCCTCATGTGTTTAGAACGGGGGGGAAAAGGCAGGCCTTCACACATTCATTAAACGAGCGCTAATCTTCTTTCATTCTTTGGAACCGGCTTATTTTATGTTTGTTTCACAGACAGATAAAGATGCCTAAGCCCTTCATTTCAGATATTCTCTCTTCCCACGTAGTGTTTGAGTAGGCTTTAATCACACTCTCGTTCTTGGAGGCTTTGATTTATGGGAAAAATCCTGCATTATTGTATCCCCAGCGTGATGCAATAAACTGCAGGCATGTAGTTGAGTGTTACGCAGCAGTATTGCTCATTCATCACTAATGGAAATTAAAATGTGTGCACAAACACTGAAAGTAATCCTCAGGATACAACGCAGTTTTCTGGGGGGTTACATTTCAGTGGCAGACTCCACTCTAAACCTGACATGAGCACAGCAACTGCAACTTCTACAGTTTTTTCCTCCCTAAAAGAATTTAAATTGAATGCGTTTGGGAGGCTCGACTGGGACAAGCTGCTTGGACACAGATTGAGTTGATCAGAAAGATTTCCATAAGTGCTGTAATCAATAACTAATCTCCTGTCCCTAATGAGGATGAATGGAGACATTTTAGTGAAGACTGTCATCAACCCTTCCTTCAAATGATTTGGCCACTTTCTGAAAGTTACGTTAAATCTTGTGCAGAGCTCTGGGAGGTTTTGTCCCAGCACGGCAGCAGCAAGTGTGGACTCAGTTTTTCCTTACTGTAAAATGTCAAATTAAATTTTTTCCCCCCTGAAGGCAGCGAGAGGGCATGCAGGAAGAGAAAATCCCGAATGAGATTTTATGAATTCTTAAGCTGAGCTTTGATATGTATGAATGCCATCACCCCAAATGCCTTTCAAATGAACTTTTCTAACATCAGAAGTCTGTACTGTCCATCAGGAATCCTGATCAAGACTCTCCTTCTTCTCCTCTTTAGTGTCTGCGGACATTGGTGGGCCACACAGGGGGCGTGTGGTCATCCCAGATGCGAGACAACATTATCATCAGCGGCTCGACTGATCGCACACTCAAGGTCTGGAACGCAGAGACGGGAGAATGTATCCACACCCTCTATGGGCATACCTCAACAGTGCGCTGCATGCACCTACATGAGAAAAGGTACGGAGCAGCTCACTGCTGTGCTTTAAGCCCAAGCTTGAAGGCTCTATGATGCTTTCGATGAGATGAAGATTTGCCCGATCAGTCTTGAGCTGAAATGAGTAGAAAATGTTTTTCATAATAAATTTAGTTTAAGCCTTTTTTTCAGGCTAAACTTATCAAATACTACCAGGTTCCACTAATTGTTGCTTTCATCGCTCGTGTGTGATATTAAACTGATTTTCTTTGCGTTTTAGATAAACAGAAAAGCGTTTTGTGCTATTGATATAGCAATCTCTGAAAATAATAGTTTTGTTAGTGTCATCCTTAAATGGGTCAATTTTAGTATTGTAGTGAGCTTTGCCAATTGTGTACTGCTGTGTGAAACTGTGCGCCTTCCTGTTTAAGAAATTGTCATGTTTTATTTAACCCTTAGATGTTGTTTTTCTTCAAAATCTTTAAAAGTTGTAATATATTCATATTCCAGGTATTCCTCATAAAATGTTGTAACATGAGGCCATTTCTATTTTTATTTATTTTTTCATTAATTAAAAAAAAATGCAGTTTTTGTATCACTACCCCGCTCTTCCATAAGTGGGGTCAAAAATGACCCCAAGCAGTTCCTCTGGAATCTTCTATGAAACTTTCATTCTTAGCAACTCTGACTGTCCCACTTACACTTCTGATGGATCAAGAATTCATTTTTACACAGTAACAGACATGATTTATAGTCTGGGCTGCACATAAGTGGTCCGCAGGTGTGCATTCGGTGTCAAAATAAAAGTATTCCAAGAAATTCCGAGAATATGCGCTTCTTTTGCGGTGGAGGAACACCAAAGTAATTGCTTACGGAGCTTGCTTCTTCGACATCTTTAAGAGTTCTGAACAAATGTCTGTCCTCCTCCAGATTATCTTATGTACGCAAACGCGCGTTGCAACTTGTTATCTGGTGCGTGTCTTTTATTTTGACAGCGAATGCGCACCTGCGGACCATTTATGATGATTTTTTTTTTGTTTGTTTTTTTGTTAAATATCTAAAGTAACATGGCTGCCATGAGGCCAGCTAGAATCCCTGTGGCCCTACAAATGATCCAGGCCCATCGGAGGAAATGGATATTGAGTCTAACAGGATGAATTAGACGGCCAGGGCTTGCACCTGGGTTTAGTACTGTCTCCCCAATAGATGCATGGAAGATGCTCATGTCTGATAATATAATAGAAGAGGTGCTGACATGCACAAACATGGAGCCGTGAAGAGTAGCCACAGACAGGGGAAAGGTTTGAAAAAATGTAATCAAACTTAAGCTCCTAGCCTTCATTTGATTGACCACTCTTGCAGGAAGTGAGAAGAACTGGGATGTACCAGGTGGTGTGCTTTTTGGGAGTCCTCTGCATAACCCATTGTACAAGGCCACTATGTCAATTCAAAGATTTAAAGATATTCGCGGTTTCTTGCACTTTGATGCCAAGAGGACCAGAGCCTACCGACTGAAAACAAACCACATGGTAGCTTTCCGCTACATATGGGGCCTGTTCCTGGTCAACTGCAGGCAGAAATTCATCCTCAGTGATTGAGTTACAGTGGATGAACAACTTGTGCCTTTCAGAGGGAAGGCCCAGCTTCTGCAGTATATGCCGAGCAAGCATACAAGAGTGATACAAAAACTCCAATATCTTAAAATTAATGAAAAAATAAATAAAAATGCAAAGGGCCTCATGTCACAAACATGTTTTATGAGGAATACCTCAAATATGAAAATATAACTCTTCGTTTTAAAGATTTTGAAGAATAACAACAGAGTTTATAGCAAAAGGCATTGATTTTATTTGGGGTCATTTTTGACCCCACTCGTGGAAGAGTGTAGGTATTGGTAGGTTGTGCATCCAAGGGTTAATACTCTTGTTTTCTTGCTGGTAGGAACGCTGGCTCTGCCTGATCTGTGCCTGAAATCAAAGTTGATCCGCACATGAGCAAAGTGCTGAAATGAGTACCGGTTACCTCATGTCATGTCTGTGTGTGTCGTTCAGTTTTATACACGAGTATAGACTTTACTTATTTATTTTTATCCTTTTGTAGAAAAAGGTCCAAACATGTTGCCTGACCTTGTTCATGGATTTCAAAATTGGCTTCAAGTGCTAATAAGAATTAAATGAAACCTTTTTTTTCCCCATAATTTGTATAACTAGGGATAAGATTTTACTTCAGTCTTTTTCCCCCCAGTGTCTTAACAATAAGAGTCCATCTACTACAGTCTAAGCTTTTATTTTGAAAGTTCTTGGTAGAGACAAGCTTTTTTTTTTTTTTTTTTGCATGTGTACAGCATATTAGGCACCAGTGCCTCTTTTGTCTGTTTATTAGATGTAAGGCTACAGGGAGCATCTAGTTAGCATAGCTTGGCAGAAACAGTGAATCTGTCTGTCTCAAACATTTACAGCAGTCCAGCAGCATCTCCAAAGCTCACAAACTCATGTTTCACATGTTTTTTTTTTGGCTCTACTGTACTCTATGGGATAAATATTTGTTTTAATTGGTGTAAAAAACCATATAACTTTCAGAAATAAGAAACACAGGATAGATTAATCCTTGAATGTTCCTTATGATTCATCACACCCACATTTACAGCCATCCCATCTGGTAAATAAGAGCAACTGTACAACGGTAAAAGAGGACAGCATCTATGAAAGAGAGCATGTGGTTTCATAGTGATTAAATGGACCCTGTGAGGCGACTTAAGTGAACTGCTGCTCACTTATTCACTCAGTATCACACTCTGGAGACTCGAAGTGCTCTTTTCGCCTTAGGGCCCACCAAGGTTTTTGTGTAGCATTTGATTACTGACTCAGTGGAAATGCTGTGAGCTGCTGGTAGATGGTGAATAACATGTTGGTGATTTCTATCTGTGTAGCACCGTGAGGCATTTAATAGAGTATGGGCTGTGTGTGTCTACAGCATGTTTTGTTTTGTTTTATTTTATTTTATGTATTTATTTATTTTTGGCTAAATTGAAATAGCCCGTAGAAAATTTAAGGTCAAATGCGGAGAGATGCCCGTCTTAGTCCTTACTGAAGTGTCTTGAAGCTGATGGAAGTTGATGAAAGTATTGACCTTAAGTGTGATAATCTGAAAAATGTTCAACTTGAGTAACTGTCACTCTAAAAGGAGTTTCTCTTCCTGTAACCGGTAATATATATTTCCATTCAGGGTGAATTCACAGATCAGGGCGGCTGTTAAAGACAGGTGTGGGGGTTTATTCATGTATGAACATGAATGTGGTGCTGTGGGTTACTCATTGTCAGAGGTAGTGAGGATCCGTGCATACGTGCCTCATTATTCTGTCAGTGCATTTACCATATTATGAATGAGCAGTTGTGTGGAGTATTGAATTTAATCTTGGAGAATGGATGACTTTAAATGCACGTTACATCTGTGGGAAAGCAGCTCAGCATAAAGGCAGCTATTGAATTCACGGTGGTTTGAACTGATTACTGCACCCGTACTCATCATCTCTCTCATTCATTCCTGAATCTCTCCTGACTATCTGTGTTGTGCTACGGTTACCTTTCTCACTGTCTGCGTTTGTGTCATGCAGGGTGGTCAGTGGATCTCGTGATGCCACGCTGCGCGTCTGGGACATTGATTCAGGTCAGTGTTTACACGTCCTCATGGGCCACGTGGCGGCAGTGCGCTGCGTCCAGTATGACGGGCGACGGGTGGTCAGCGGTGCCTACGACTTCATGGTGAAAGTTTGGGACCCCGAGATGGAGACCTGCCTCCACACGCTGCAAGGCCACACAAACAGAGTGTACTCATTACAGGTGAGGCCTCTCACAGCATTAAAGAAAAGACTGGTGTATACCAATCAACCTTGGAGCCAAATGAAATGCACGAGTTACTTTGTTTTAGAGTCTTTGAGAACTCGTATAAAAACATTCTCGTTTATGACGCAATGAATCAGATGCAGTTGGTAGTTTTTAGGTCCATATATGTAAGAACTCGTCTAACTACATTATTGTAAGGGCTGTCTGTAAGACTGATGTGAGCATAAAAGAGGCTTTAACCATGTTTGACTATTGTCAAAGGGCCGGATTTGCTAATCTAAAAGAAATAGCACAAGGCTTCAATCAGCATAAAGCAAGCCGGTTGTGTGCGTGACTTTCTACCAGAATTTATGAGCAACCAGTTCATCTCAGCCTTAACGAGAGTAGGACAGATTAAGGTGGCAAGCAAACACATGTGGGTTTGAGTGATCTACTAAAAACACAGCTTGTTGCTTACAATTTGTCAAACATAATACAGTCATTAGTTTTATGCATGCATTTCTCTCTCAGCACGGCAGCATAGGCCAGAGACGGTGGAAGTTTTCTGTGGTAGAAACAACGATGTACTGGAGGAATGGGAGAAAATTTAAATAAACATTTCAAAATTACAACATCCAATCTTTTCTGCAAATGTGACACCTCTCCTACACTATTGGTGGAAGTTCTGTGGGTGGCTCAGGTGTGAAATGTATAGTTTTCAGGGGTTTATCGGTTTTCAGCGTTATTTTGTTGTCGTTTTTATCGTTTACTCGTCTTTCCTGGGTCTTTTCACGTGTGTTATGAATAAATGTTCTTTTTTTCGGTACCGGTACTAGTTTTATTTTGTTGTATTTATCCGCGACACCTTAAAGGCCGGTCCGTGAAAATATTGTCGGGCATAAACTGGTCCGTGGCGCAAAAAAGGTTGGAGACCGCTGTTTTAAAGGAAACGTTTATCAAAGCTCTGCTTAACTTCTTGAAAAGAACTACAAGCCAAAAGACTGAAGGGCTGAAAGACATTTTGGCACAGTGGGCATGCATAATTTCCTTAAGTTGATAGTTGCAGGCTGTCTTTGATTTACACCAGCAAATTAAGAACCGTGTGCCTTGACAGTGGATGTTTTAACACCTTTTTGTGTTAAAAACAAGTGGAGAAAATCCTGAAACTAGTTATGTCAAATGCAAATCTAGGTTTGACCTTCTGTTCTTTAAATGTTGAAATAACAGTGCAATTAGCAGCAAACTGATTACCTCGAACTTTTCCTTTTTTGATCCCCAAACTTTGGTGACGCAACAACAGGTGACTCAAGTAACACTTAAGGGAAAACAGTCATAAAGATGCTTTCACGCTCATGGCAGTTGTCATATGTTTGTGTCACCAGAGTGGTTTGTGCTATTAAGAGTACACAGGTTAATTTTAAATGAAGAGCTTCTAAACGGGCCTTTTTACTGTACACTTTTCCTCTTAACTGTCCTAAACTGTAGGAAGTTCACTGCCGCGTGTCCTCCAAGGACTTCTGTGGAGTGAAATATTGCTTGTTAGGCTCAGGCAATTGCTTTAAACCTGTGGTGCACAAAAACAACAGATCTCTCTTTTTGCATGAATTTTTTAGTCCTTTATCTTATATTCATGTGCAATTCTATATTCTTAATTTATTATGTCCCAGCATATATGTGTGCTGTTTGTTCGTTTGGAGGAAGGGGGGAAAAAGTTTATACCCGTTTGTCCTCTAATATGTCCTCTCTTCTCATCCACTCTGTGTGATGACAGAGCACTTTAGCTGGTGCCATAACCCTCACAGAGGAGGCTGATTACTGCACTGATAGATTGGTTTTTGTGCCATGCTGCTTTGATAGACTTTTAAAGTGTTGGTTCTCTCCAACTAGATTTGGGAAGCAGCAGAAAAGCTTTAACAGATCAATACTGTGCATCCATTTTAAATGGGTTTAGTCTAAGGTTAATAGAAACAAAGTACGCAGTGTTGAAATGTGAGGTGCTTTTGCCGTCAACTCCAACTTCAAGTGACAGTTTTGGTTATCTAGAGGTGGCCGTTTGATTTTCAGACAATTTAAACGTATTCATTGTTTCTGTAGTTCGATGGGATCCACGTCGTGAGCGGCTCATTGGATACGTCTATAAGGGTCTGGGACGTGGAGACGGGCAACTGCATCCACACGCTAACGGGCCACCAGTCCCTCACCAGTGGCATGGAGCTCAAAGACAACATCCTGGTCTCAGGCAATGCAGACTCCACCGTCAAGATCTGGGATATCAAGACTGGCCAGTGCCTCCAAACACTGCAAGGTGAGGAAAGTGAAGTATGAACAGTGTGAGAGTTACTGGAAAACTTCTGTAAAACCAGAGGCTGTCTCAGCTGTTATTGAAATCTAATTACATTTTAATGACAGGTTTAACTTTTCATGACTACATCTCACACTTTTCTGAGTCCATCATGTTGGCAAAGCTGCGGGTAGTTGTTGCTGCAATGGAAGTCTCCAGGACCACACACGGGCAAAACACGTTGTAGGATACATACGAAACTGCTGCACATTTACTGCTGTTTGGATAAACCCTAAAAGAATAAAAGTGTTCTTTGTACTGCATTCAGCTGAGTACTCACACAGCAGCTGGTGCATTGTCTCCCACTCAGAAGAGCTTGACCTTAGTGGCTCCAACGTTTTTGGGTGTTGTTGGAGGATGTTTGCTTATCACTTCCAAATTTCTGTGTTTATTTGCTGGGAGTCATGAGATCAGACTCTTAGCTGTTTTATTCTGTTAAAATAATTTCAGATGTGGTCTTATGCGCAGACCTTACAGTAAAAAATCAGTACAAAGGTCTCATGTGACAGGACAGCCAGGCTACATCAGAGATTTTGGGGATGTAACTCTTATATTTTCTTTCTCTCTTAACTTTCTGTCCTGTCTTGATGTGCTACTGTTTTCATACCACTAGACTTGGTTATGTTGTACTCAAAGCAGCTACACCTAAGGTGGCTGCAAAACAACTTGACTGAAATGTAGACTTATAGATCCATGAATAAATGACTTAAAGTGTAGAAAAGTGGCAATGCTAGCCTTGGAGGATAACAACACCAAAAAACACGTTAGATGGGACTCTGTTTGATACTGACAGTCCAATTAAAAATCCATCTAAATTACCTGTTTGTGTGTGTAAGTGGAGCAGAACTGAGCCAACACCTTGCAAGCCTGCTGGTCCTGATTACAGTCTCATTTCCTTTGTGTCTGAATAGTTCTAACTCCATTAGCAGCACTGGTGCCTCACAGGATGTTGGAAATCCTTTGGCTGAATAGCAGTGGCAACCAGCAGTGCCCCACTCCTAACCGCCCTCATTAGCAAACTCCAAACCCGCATGCGGGTGCTGCGTCCACAGCGCACACAGCAGCCCAACAAAGGATGGTCGTATAAGAGCCTTAAGAGAGCAGGAGGGACGGCGTGCAGGGAGGGAGACTGTGGGTCTGTCTGGTGAAGAGAGGTGACTACAGTAAAAGACTGAGGGCCCGGGAACTTTGTAGGTCATATAATTAGGTCAGCAGACAATTTCTGCCATTCATTAGTGTGTTTTGATAAGACAATAGGCCAACAACAAGGCTGTCACTGTCAGCTCGAGAGCGCATAGGTAATCACGGAGCAGAGTGCTTTGTTGTGGTAATGGGAAGAGCAGAGGGAGGAGAGAGACAGGCAAGCTGGGGGTTGGTGCAGAGCAGTATTGTGTAGCCGGGTAAATAACTCAGCCTTTGAACTAATCAGAGACGGAAACAGAAAAGATGTGAACGCTTGTTCAGAGATTTCAGCAGGTTTCGCCGGTGAAAGGTTGTGTATCCTGAAACAAGTTAAATGCATCTGAGCTCACAATTCAGTCAAAATCAGTTCATTTGCCTGCTCTCGACTCTGCACTCGTTTTTGTTTTCGCTTTAATTGATTTAATTAAGGTATGATTTTCAAGCCTGAAGGAGTCACGCATACAGTCACAAATAAACTCACTTCAGCCACTACACGCTTTAACCGGTATGTACTGGCACCAAACAGACCAGACAAAGGTGTAGCTGAAGCTGCTTAGCGTCTGTGACAGACAGGAATGAGCCCTGGCAGCTCGTCCTAAAGCCTGCCAGCTGTACGAAGATCTCATTGTCACAGCACCGTCAGGAGTAAGAGCTCTTCTTTCACCTCACAGGCTGACAGAGATCTTGCTTTCAGATCTTTCCCTGTATCTGGGTTCTTCATTATTTTTAAATTCACCCATTCTTTATGTGCCAGTAGACTAGCACGTTTGACCAACATTTTCCACGAGCTTTGGTAGAAAGGGATTCCCCTATGTTACAGGTTTTAGGACCTGACTGATCCACACACATTTACTGGAAACTTTAACCTGAATGTAAATGTTTTAAGCCATGAAAAAAAAGACTTTTCTTTACCTCGTCCCACTAAATATAAGTATCTTTGTGTCTTCAGGTCCTCACAAGCACCAGAGCGCCGTGACGTGCCTCCAGTTCAACAAGAACTTTGTCATCACCAGCTCGGACGATGGCACGGTCAAACTGTGGGACTTGAAGACTGGTGAGTTCATCCGTAACCTGGTGACTCTGGAGAGTGGCGGAAGCGGCGGTGTGGTGTGGCGCATCCGGGCCTCCAACACCAAGCTGGTGTGCGCGGTTGGTAGCCGCAACGGCACAGAGGAGACCAAGCTGCTGGTCCTGGACTTTGACGTAGATATGAAGTGAGAGGGAGCGCGGTGGGGAAGGTCGAAGAGAGCGAACCGCACAGGAAGGAGTAGAGAGGGAATGGGAGACGAGGAAACCTGGAAACTGGAGAGCCAACATCCAAATGCTAGAACCACAACCACCAACAGTGGGCTGTCCTGTCCTCTACCATCATCTTCCCACGTCCCCCCCCCCTGCTTTTTTGGGCAAATGTTACTGACAAAGAGACACACCCTCACCTGTTCAGCCCCTGCTTTTGAGCCCCTTCCACCAGCACAAGGTGGAGCCTAAAGGGGGATCGGGTTGGAAACGAGGCGAGGAGGGCGGAGCACGACTGGTCTGTCCCTTGATTGGCTGTGAGAAAGAAGAGGAAGAGGGGAAAAAAAGAGGAACGGCCGAAAATGACTGAACTCTTTTGAAGTGACTCTCAATCCTTTCAGTTTGGGGGCAGCTTCACTCAGAGACTTAGTTTCGCTCAAGCCTGACAGATTTTGACATGTACAGAGATATATTATTTTTTAAAAGCCCCTCCCACCCTCTGTAACCCCCTCCCATCAGTGTGCGCCCCCCCCCCCCAAAAAAAAAAAAGACAAACACACACATACACTCAAAAGGCTGACCGGAAAGTGGGAAACGTTGACCGTAGGTTAAGGCTGGGAAAGGTGGATTTTCCACACCTAAAGAGCTGCTCGGTGTAGCCTGTTCAGGCTAGTTTCTCGTCACTCCATTTCTGTTCCTGTTTGTTTCTCCCCTTCTGTAGTCTGATTTCTTTAAAATACCGCACACAAACACAACTGTGAATTTCAACACCTCTTTGGTTTATCATATGAAAGGTTTTGTTTTTTCCACCTTTTCTCACTGTTGCCAACAGCAACAAATCCCAGTATTAGAAACCTGCCCTGTTTAGGTTTGCCATCTTTGTCACAAGGGTTTATTTTGTTTTGATTTGTTTTCTTCCTTCCTTCCTGGTTCTTCCTTTCTGTTTTCTACATACCTGGGTTCGGAGCGCCGTCTCCACATGAACATCAATGCTGTCCAGATTTTTCCAGAGTCTAGCTGGGGTGGTTTCCTCAATGCCAGTGCTGTGACGAGAAGAAGAAAAGGTCCTTTGCTCTAGGCGCTGTGGATTAATGCCCCCCTGAACCCCACTCGTCCCCCTCCCTTCCCCTCTACCGTTTTCCCCCCCAGTGGCCAAACTGTATTTATGCTGCTAGATGAATGGGGAAAAAGAAAGAGAGAGATGGAACTTTTACTTGCTGTGACGTTTTAGTCCCAGGCAAAATTCCAAATTGAACTCTATGTTTGGACTTACAGAAACAAAATATGAGAAAAAAAGGTAACATCCAGCTTTTTATTTTCTGTTTTGTTTTTGCCACTGAAACTTGAGCCAAACGTGCCTCTACGAGGCCGAGAGGAGGGAGCGTGTCCGACAGATACCGGCGGGGAGCGCCCGCAGAGAGGAAACAAGGGGATGTACACTGTTGGCGTGCGTGCGTGCGTGTGCATGAGTGCGTGTGTTTAGCGTGTTAATGGGCAACTTGTAAACACATTCCTTGGGACAAAGCTCTTTCGGCCTGTTCTTTGGGGAAATGTACAAATGCTGTTCAGACTGGCAAAGACAAAAAAAGCGAAAATATATAAAAAAAAAAATAATCCTAGCAGATGTATCGATTTTTAACAGGTGAATGAAAGAACTGTCCATATCCGTGCGTGTGATTGTTGTTCCGTTCAAAGATGTCTGAAGCAACAGAGGAGACCATCACAAGCATCAACTGACAGGCGGAGCTGGCGGGAGTCTTAGTGTTACATGTGTCACAGTCGAACTCACCCAGGCGGCCTCGCGGGTCGTCATGGGGGGAGAAATTTTAACAAAACAAAAAAATCCCACAAAGGCAACAAAACATGAACAGAAACATTGTAGCCAAACAAAAACCGTCCCAATCTCCAAGAGTCACAACTCAAGCTGAACTGTGAAAGTGGTATAACACTGTATATTAAAAAAAAAAGAAAACAATCTTGCTCTATCTCCTCTTGTTGTTTTCTCCCTCTGATTTTAATTTATGATCTGGTTTGAGAAATCAGATTTGTTGCAGGTGTTTTTATTTCTTTTTTTTTTCTTTGTTTTTTTCCAGTTCATGTAAACTGCCTGGCAAAAAAGAAAACGGACAGAAAAAACCTTAAAGGGATTGTGTATTTGTTTGATTCACTTAGAATTTTATTTTCTTATAACTTAAGTGCAATAAAATGTGGGTTTTTCTTTTTTCATTTCAAGCTGACAGTTGTCTGTTTTTGTTACCTGTATGAAGGCATCTTATGTGTTCAATAAAGCAAATTATTTGGTAATTACATCCACAAGGGAATAATTTTAAACATTAATCACAGCGCAGTCTTAGTCTTCTAGTTTTGTCGCCGGTGTGATCAGAGCACCTTCACAAAAACAGATATCTGACTTCAGTTTAGTCTCCCCTTCAAGATGGGCTTCTTATGTCGCTCTGCACCATTTCCAGCACTCCTGCTACTTCCTGTGTACTCCCTGGAAGTCCCATTCTGACCACTTGAAATGCGCACACATGCATGTGACGTCCTGCGCAGTTTTCAAACAATAACTTTTCAATTTGTCCCATTTCCCAGAAAATAAAATTAAAGTATCAGAGAGACAAATCTGTGGACTAATGCGAGATTTTCAGTAGTGACTTTATGTCCAGTTGCTGATGAAAAGAGCAGCTAAGGGCATTTTTCATTCCGCCATTATAATTTGTCGCTCCGGCAGGTGAGCGCGGGGTGTGGATCCATGTTTGTGAATACGAAAAGTTAGCGTAACATTATTTTTAAATTGATAACAATAGGGGACTCTACTAAACCTCAGATGAGTTTAAATCTCTGACTTTGAATTCAAAGTCAAGGTCAGTGTTCAGCTTTAATGAAAAATCACTTTGGGTTTTTACATTTTTACCACGGGTGCAGCTCCTAGGAGGCTGAGGACACTGCCAGTACTTTTCTTTCAATAACGGAGGCAGGAGGCGGCCACCGACTGGTTGTTTGATCGCAAGAAGCTACAGACATGTAGATGACAGTCCTCAAAATCATCCACAGGCACTCCAGAGGACCAGTGCACAGTCATGTTTAAGCCATAAGGTTATGTCAGTGTAACAAGCATGCTCCTCGGCACCCAACTTTGTGTTTGGCTATTATACCAAACGGCAATAATTCTCGGTGTGAAGCAAGATTTTCAGGTATGTATTAAAATCATAAACACTCAAGGTTCATAAAAGGACTTCTAGAGGGCGATCAGGATATCTTCATGCCGTCCAGAAGAACTGGACAACGAAATGACCTTCAAGGATTTTTAGCAGTATCAATAAGTAATATAAAGTTAGACCTTAGTCACTAAACTTCCTGATTGTGCATGGTGCTCATCCGATTGCATCTCCAGCTCAGCAGCAGTTCCCATTTGTCCTGTTTATTGTTGAAGTCACATTATCAAGAAATCCCACGAAATGACTGAACGCACTAACAGCCCCTCAATTTAATTCACTAGTCAAACTTTTAATTCTGCATTTCCAACACGTTTCCACTTTTTGTCTGTCATGTTTTATTTGCCATTCACCCAGGAGTGTCAGCAGAATTTTTTCAAACGGGGGCCACTAAAAATACTGGGGTGGCACAACACAGAAAAAACTATGCCAAGTTGCCTGGTGCAGCAAATTTTGAGAGGTGGCTGCTGCCCCCTCCCTTGGTGCTACCATTCACCCTTTTAGCTCTGCACCATGAGCTACTTGACCTCATCACTACTCTTTCCTACAGAAAATGAAAATGGTTTGATTTTTAAAAACAGAAATTCTCCTCAGACAGAAGCACTCGAGCAGAAGCGAAATCTCAGAGGGTTTGACTATATGGAGGGTGAAAAAAAAACAGTTCACTGTGATGAAGCAACGTGCCTGCCAGCTTAACAACATGACAACTCTTGTTGTGTTTTTAAATAGTTTTTGGACAGTGAAGGATCTCCTCAGAGGAGGAAGCTGTATGGCTTTGGCCTCAGTGGTAGTACAATCATTTTTTTCCTCTGGGGATTTGTTGACAGGCGTTATAAAGACTAATGCCAGTTCTGTTGTTTTGGTACATGAGTATTATATGCACTGGTTACAGTTCCCAGTGGTGAGCAGCTGACAGAAAATGAATCGGCAGCAGTTTGCTTGCAGTCAGCCTGCAACTGAACACCCAATGGGCCCAAATGTAGAAATGTGGCCCACGTGTCCCATGATTATCTGCCTTAAATTTCTTGTAAATCCAGTTTTACGTTGAGCATTTCTAAACAGCAGGATTACTCAGATTTCTTTTTGTTATGTCGCCTTTTTTAGGAGCCTTTTATGTAACATATTCAAAAGGAACTGAATCCAGATAGCCTGAAGTGTTAGACAAAACACTTATTCACACTTCCACTAAGTGTAATTTTATCAAAGTGTTGTGTTGCAGCTCAAAAATACTAATGAGCTATTTGTTTTCTGTTTAGTCTTTAATTATTTTTCAGCCTGTGAAGATAATTCATGCAGTTTAGCTTCGCATGTTGCGTTCATTCTGCTCTGCTCTCTCCTGTATATAAGAGACCGTGAATGGCGGCTGGGGAGCGATTTAAACGTGACCCACTTGATGCCCACCCCCCCCAAAAAAAACGTTATCTGTCATGAGTCCGTACAGCTCGTGTGGCAGCAGTTGCAGTCTAGCTGTGCTCCAGATTCCCTCCCGCCTGTTGCCTAGCAATAGTTCGTGTCTGGCCCGGCCTCAGAGCTCGGTGTCCACTCGGAGTATAAACAGCATTGTGAGGAAGCAGTGAGGGCTGTTCATCCTCACATGAATGGACATGAGGGGCGTTTCCACTTCGACTGAAAAGGTTACGTTATGCGCAGTTTGTTTCCAGGATCCACTTGTGTGGCGTGCAAGCAGCCCCTCTGCTCTGGAGAACAGTAAACAACCTGAGTGACACATTGTTGCCTATTGTTATTCATGTATCAGTGAGCGAGTGCACTTTACACTGAGAACAGTCTGTCAGGTTTGTTTTAACTGAAACTGAAACACACAGCTGCAAAGTGATGCACAGTGTGGGTTAAACATCCAGTAGATAAGTGTACATGCAAACACACAGTCGAATATATAGTCAGCAAGGTGAACCACAGCCTGAATAACGATTGAAAGGAGAAGGTAACCTATGTTTTAAACGGCTGCTGAAAACGCATTTTCAAAGAACAGAATCGGCACATGGTTAGGAAATCCAGTAGCTTCCTGCTGGGTTTCAAGCCTGCAGAAGGGCACCAAATATGAGAAGTGGGCTTCAAGTTTCACCCCACCCCTAAAGGATCGGGGTGGGGTACATTTAATTTGATCGCCTTTAGGGACGTCTGGTTGTGCAGTTCTCGTCTGTCCCATTAGAGTCCCGTGCGCTTGTGCATTTGCAAGGCATGCTGGATCTCTTCCACTTTGCTAAATGTGCAATATTTTAATTCTAATTTGATTTTGTGGAAGAGAAAGTTTCAGAGGTGGGATGTGGCGAGTAACTATTGCGTTGCGATGACCGAAAACACCAATGCAGTGCAGTGTTTGTGGAAAATGGCAATCATGGGAGAACTCTGCTTTAACCAGCTGACCAGATACACCGCTTTCAGGCTTTGAAACCCTGAACTTCCACTGAAACCTCCTGTTTGGTTCCTGGGACCCGGGCTTAGATCCAGATCTCTCTACCAGTGATCACCCTGGATATGAAAGTCAGGTCATTTTGACCAAAAAGTGTTTGAAATATCAGGGTCATCGCAGCAGAGCCAACTGACTTTAATATTGCATGTTGTGAATCTGAAGGTTGAAGAAAGGATTACAAACCAAACGGTCCTGCTACAACTTTGAGTTGAGCCTTTTATTAAGGAGTTCAGAGTGTACTTACAATCAAATAAACAGGACAAGATGCCCCAACTAGATATTGTATTACATTTGTAAGAGTCGATACACTAATCATGAGCTTAAAGTTCTCTTTGATTGCTTTCTAAATTTAATCTGAAGAAAATTAGTTCTCAAAATAATGGAGAATTTGTTGATGCAGCTTAGAAATTTTCAGTGTAAAGCAAAGGTAGATCAATGTTCACTCGAGCGTAAGTTTCTCAGCTTGAGGTAGACCTGACATCCGTGATCCATTGTGTGTGAGATGAGGATGCTGTTGATTTCCATTTAAGGATTGTTATTGCACTACAGGCTACAGCTGGTATTGAGTTAGGAAACGATACACTTTCAGGAATGGTTCTGGGCCAGTGATGGAGTCTGGAGTGAGTCCACGCCTACAAAGGTGTGAGATGCAAAAAGTAGGAGTGTATTGATGAATGGCAGAATGCCAATCATGCACCCCCCCCCCCCCCCTTTAATTCCTTCCCATAACAAGTCAAACCAAATCATTCCCATTTCTTGTCATACTGTAGAAATTTCTATTGAGTCTATATCCAGGCATTTTAGGTAGAGCAAAGAGAACTTTAGACTTTAGTTACATTTTGTTATATCTCAAACGGTATTGCACTGTGAAGAAGTCTTGAGCCACCCCTCATTTATTTAGTTTTGCTAGAAAAAATATTCTCCCCCTCCAAAGGGAGGAACCTGTTCTGTTTGTGTCTGTTAGCAGTCTAATGTCCAGAGTTTTCAGGATATCATTTTTGAAATTTTATGTAACAGTAGATGCCAATAAAAGCTCGAGCTCATTTAGTTTTGGTGAAAACCTCGTCAAGGTTGCACCAAATGCAAACAAATTGTTAAAAACTTCACATTATCCACATTTTATTTTAATGGATTTTCTTATAATTTTCCAACAATATACTAGACTGTTGGCAGTGTATTTGGGATCATTGCTGAAAATGAAGTCGTTGCCAATCAGACACTCTTCAGAAGGTGGATCAAAATCTGAGAATACTTTTCTGTGTTCATAATTCACAAATTCACAAAATTGACACAGAATTTCAATCCAGTTCCTGTTTACTTC